GCCGGGGGTGGGGATGGGGACGGGGTGGGGGAGCTGCACAGCCGTAACAGACACCTCACGTCCCACCCCGGTGCAAACGTGGCTCAGGGAGGCCACAACCACTTCCCCAGCCACCTTTCCCAGCCCAGTAAATCCAGTGTGAGCAATGTCCGGGGGCCGGGGGTGGGATGGGGACGGGGTGGGGGAGCTGCACAGCCGTACAGACAACTTCACGTGCCACACCGGTGCAAACGTGGCTCAGGGAGGCCACAACCACTTCCATCCCTCCCAGCCACCTTTCCCAGCCCAGTAAATCCAGTGTGAGCAATGTCCGGGGGTCAGTTCCACCGCTGGGAGTGTGACCGCCTGTTTCAAGCACGGAAATTGGAGCTGGACTCCCTGGGGGAGCTGCACAGCCGTACAGACAACTTCACGTGCCACACCGGTGCAAACGTGGCTCAGGGAGGCCACAACCACTTCCATCCCTCCCAGCCACCTTTCCCAGCCCAGTAAATCCAGTGTGAGCAATGTCCGGGGGTCAGTTCCACCGCTGGGAGTGTGACCGCCTGTTTCAAGCACGGAAATTGGAGCTGGACTCCCTCCTATCTCCCTTCCTTCCATATAAATTGTTGATGTTTCCAGACCATTCACTGGTCACATCCTTTACAAACGTGAGTCACTGTTGTATTACTGCATGCAGGCTTGTTCAACCAGCTACGCCCCTTGTGTTTTCCAAAACAGCCCGAGGGTTTCAACTTGAGCTAAATTCCTCCTCCTTGGGACATGTGTGCAGGTGCTTTATCTGGTCGCCTTTATCAAGGTGACCTCCCTGGCACGAGGCACAATGGCCAGGGACGTTCATTTGCATGGCATGAGAGCCCAGCTCTGCTGGGTAAGCAGTGCAAAGGGCCATCAGCGCCCATGGAAATCCAGGCCGTCGCCTGGAGGGCTCCCAAGTGGCTGAAGACCCTCCTTGGCCACCCCCAGGGCTGCTTGGCCATTGCATTTCCTCGTCTTTGTGGTTCGTGTGAGAAAGGGATGGCCCCTTCCAGCAAGGAGCCCTGCACACTCCCCCCAGGACCAGAACAGACTTAGAAGTGCCACAGAGATTTATGATGTCAAACGCTTTTTATATTTTTTTCAAAGCCCCTTTTACACTGCCTGGATAAATTGATTACCTGCTGATGGGGGAGTGGGAAGAGCTGTTTATTGGGAACCACCGAACAAGAGTTTGTTAGGATCAGAAGAAACCAGTAGGAGTGACCCACTGCCCTTTCCTTTGATCTCTGCAAGATGTGCCCGGAGAAGGCACGCCAGAGCCAGAACAATAACGCAAAGCATGCCGGCGGCATCAGCCCGACTGCCGCTCAGGCAGCCATTCCTCCGAAGGCGGCGTCTCCTCTGCGCGCTGCCGGCACCCAGACCACGCTCCACCACCCAGGGCTCCCCGCTGGCAACATGCAACTGGATGAAAACAAGTTTTGTGCCATCAGACCACACTGTGGGTACACACCGTGTCGCGACGATGGCAGGAGGCTGCTTTAGTAAAGGCAACTTAAGTGACAGCCGAAATCCTGCCTGTGGCAAACTTCCGGATGCTGTGTATTGGTTTAAATATTCGTGTGTGACAACGGGGAATCTCACACCAGTGACTTGGCATACGGCTGCGGGAAGTGTATAGCTAAGGTACGATATAGACTCTTAAATGGGGTTTCAGTGGGCGTGAGGCATCTTCTCCATCCACTTTTAAAATTCCCATGAGGCACCTAACAGTAAGTCTTTTGGCACGTAAATCCCTTGATAAAACCCCAAACACAATCCCAAGACAAATTGTGCTCCGAGTATCAGAGATCTGAATTAGACTGGTGAAAACAGCACGTTAACTGTGAGTGCCGGGCTGTCCTGACAGTCCTGCAAGGAGGCCATTTGGGGAGAGAGTGGGCCCTGACCAGCATGAGTCTTGATTCAAAGGGCATGACAAAGCTCTCCCGCTGCTACCAGCATCGTGCCATCTGGCATTGGCCTGCAGCCACCTCTGGGGTGCTCCGTAGGACCTGGCCACTGAAAACAGGACGTGAAGAATAACAAGTCCAGTTGGGAGGCAAAATGTTATTAAATAAATTGGCACACTCCATCGGGCAGTAAGAGACCCTGCAAACGGCACCGGGGGCTTTAGACAGTCAACTTCTGCTACAGCGAGCGTGACTCATCTCCGTCCCTCTGCCATCACACCTCACCCTCTTCTCCAGCTTCGCCCACATGCCGTAATCCAGCTGTCCAGGGTAGGTGACGCTGCTGGGCCTCTGCAGCTCTCACTGGACACGTGCCATCACTGTGGTTCTTCCCCACTCCGCAGGAAGAAGCTATGCCGTACCCACCTAAGCCAGTGCCTCTCAAGCAGAACAGACCAGCACCTGACACCGCTGAGTTTACTGAAGAGAATAAGGGAAGCAATACTAAAGCATTTAGCCACTTCTTAACTCCACGCTGTAATTGTCCAAAAAACAATTATCCTTATGGTATAAAAGGGGAAACTGAGGCACAGAGATGGCAATTCCCAGTTCTGGGCCCCACGGAGTACAGGGCTGCACAGGCACAGAAGGAAAAGGCAACCCCTGCTCTGAGCATCTTAGAGGGTGGATTTGTTTTAGACAGTAGCTTGTTACGCTGTCCCAGGTATTCAGCTCACGACACAAACGGGACAGCACTACAGAAATGCCAGCACTTGAAAAAGAAAAGATACAAACCCGCCAGCCCCCCACTCACAAAAACTCTGAAAATACTCTCTAATCCAAGTGCTCAACCACTGCTTCTGCTTCCAGCATATAATGTTTTAAAAGATGTTAGCAGCACAAGTACATCATCAGTATTCTCGACGCGTTAATTCCAAAGTACTTGGGTTAAAATACAGTCTACAATGGGTAGTGTGGGCGTGTGCCAGACTAAGGATCGGATGGAAGGTTTTCACTGTAACGCATACAACTGATCAATTGATCAATGACTGATCAATCTCTTCCCTTCTCTTTATCTATCTAGTTTTGAACAGAACTATTTCCTCTTTTCTCTGTTTTTATCTCTTTTTTACACATCTCTTTAAGCTACAAACCCAGCCTGTGACCTCAGTCCCACACTCGGATAGTCCTGGCCTTGCAGGACATACAGGTGGGAGACCAAATAAGCACAAAAAGGGTATTTTTTAAGACACCAAGCATCTCCTCACTTTTGGGAAGCTGTGCTCTGAATCCCGCTGTCTTTTTGCAGTGTAAGTCCCTGCTACCAGAGCCTCAGCGCTAGGAAGCGATCCCTTCTCCCCTGGCCCCCTCCCCAGGGAATCTCCTCGCTCCTCTCTGCAGAGTGCTTTTGTTTATACTTGCTAAACACTCAGCCACTTTCTTGGCAGAAAACCCTCCCACTGCCACCTGGCCGCTTTTCTGTCTCCCAGGAAGTTTTGCAGTGACCTGTGACACAGCCGGGAATGTGGCTCGGACACGGGGAGGGGGGGACATCTGACAATGTGCTGTCTGCTCCTGTCCGCCCCCCCGCTGACCCCAGCCTCGACACACTCACATCCAGCCACACACACATCCGGACACTCACATCAGCGAGTGAGTCAGAAACAAAGAAGAAAAACCCTCGTGGGCTGCGATTCGCCCTTTATTGTGAACCCCAGACGTCATACGCGCACGGCTATAGATGGAGCTCGGGAGCCCAGGCCAGCCCAGTGCAAGCCCACGAGAGCTCAGTGATGGTGGTGGTGGTGCCGGTTGGTGGGGGGGGATGCTGTGTCTGTATGGCTAAGGATGTATTACAGAGGCGGGCTGGTCTTAATGTAACTAGAGAGCTTCTGTGATCTACAAAGGGTGAAGACAGAGAGGGAGTAAGAGGAGGTACCCTGTGTATTTCCCAGCCGCGCTCTCCCCAAGAGGAGGCCGCCGGCAGCCCCTCTCTGATCCCCCCCCCAATCTCCCTCCAGCGCAGCACACCAAGGAATGATGAAAAAAAATAATTCTGCAAAAAGGGTGAGTCGAATTGCTTCTTCTTTGGGGCACGGTGGGGTGGGGGAGGCTCACGGATGTTTTGGGGAGGGGGGCTTGTCTCTTGATTTCCAGTTGTTCGCTTTGCCTCTGCTCCCCCCGCCCTTGCCTTGCAAAAAAAAAAACCCACCCCAACCAGATCAAAACAAAACCAAACCCAGCACCCGTCTCTCCTTCTCTCCTACTGCCCAGTGCCTCTCCTTCCTCTTGAATTCGCCAGGAGATACTATTCGCCGTTTAGTGCGGAGCGATGTAGGCAGGCAGTTTTCATTTTTGATCACAAGGAAACGATAAAATACAGAGACACCATCTATCTGTCGCTCGCTCTCTGCTCTGTGCCGTATGTGTGTGCCTGCTGTGCCCAGAGATCTTATAGCTGTCTATGAAGAAATCTTAAATATAAACCCATACATAGATTTCGCCTCTAGGATTAATTGTTCATAAACGGCTCAAAAATGCAATTTTCACTGTAGTAAAAAAATCAGCTAGTTTAAATTCTCCCCAACACCCTCCTGTTCCTCTTTCCAATGGCAAATGCACGTTGTGTGAGGCGAATATAACGTAACAGCCTTTCTTATATAACGCACAGAGTGAAACCCTGCCTGCGATTTTTGCATCATCCCCTCGGTATTATTGTTGTTGCTTCATGTCTGCAGCAGAAAAATCTATGTAGAGTGAATCAAGCAAAGTACCTCGGTCCCAGCTTCGGTGGAGAGAGGGGCCGGGAGGAGGGGGAGGCGAAAGTTGGGCAAAGAGGGAGGGGGGGAGAAGAGGAGCGTAAAACCAAGAATAATACCATTTTCCCCCATTTTCTTCCCTCTCTCTTTGTGTTAGGGGCAACAGGATGGAAACCAGCAATCTGTGCAGCCAGAGAAGGTCGGCTGGGTGCGGAAATTTTGCGGGAAAGGCATTTTTAGGGAAATCTGGAAAAACCGTTATGTGGTTTTGAAGGGAGATCAGCTTTACATCTCAGAGAAGGAGGTAGGATCGGTTTCATTTTCCTTTCCCATCCCCCCTTTCCTCCCCTTTGCATATGAAAAGCACACGCCAAGCAGCCCCAGCCTTTCCCCAGCGCCCCTGCCCAGCCATCGCCCCTCCATCGCCAGCCTGGGTTCAGGAGGTTTCTCGGGGACTTCTCCCCGAGTCGGCACCGGAGAAACCTGGCCTGGGTTGGTGTGACAGCTCCAACAGCGACTCTCCCAGACAGCTCTGGCTGGGAGACATTTTCCCAGCACTGGACACATGAAAGGATTCACTTAGCGAGAGTTAAAACCCTCATCCTTCTCTCCGCCGCGGTGAAACGGCAATGCCAGCTTCCTTCTGTGCCTGTCCTCTGTCATTAAGTTCGACAGTGGTCTTGTTCCCAGCTGCTGCACTGCTCTATTTGGAAATAACTGTGGTCTCCCCACTGGAATCGAGCCATTTATGGGTCCCTTATCTCCTGTATTTTTTTTCCCCCTGAACCACACCACAAGAGGACGACGGGGAAATTTAACCACGGATTCAACACCTTGTTGAAAAATGTGCCCCCTCTCCTCCCCCTTGTCTCTGCTCAACATCGGCTGGGGTCTGGGGTTTAATGTAGTGTTTACATTAGACTTAATTGGATGTGACCATCAGGCTGAGCGTTGCAGGCGCTGGCAGGCTGCGATCCGGCTGTCCTTGCACAGCCTGCCCCCTTAGATTTTGTCTTGATAAATTCATCAGGAAGAAATCCCCAGGCAACAGCACGCCTCCCTCTGCCTACTCTTTAAAAACACTAGTGAGGGTTGGGCCCACAAGAAGAGGCACAGGGGCTGTCTGGAGTCAGGCTGGCGTTAGGACAGGGCATTTGGGGTAAAAATACGGATCTGGGTCTGGGTCTCGGTGGGTTTCCTCCCGTAAGTGGAGGTTACTCTCCGACGGGCATTGCAGGGCGGTCTGTTGTTCAGATGCACGGCTACCTGGCCCAGCTTTATCAGTTTAGGATCTGGAGGGATAAGAGGGTCCAGAGCGCCAAGCATAATTCAATTTAGAGGCTAATTGAATCACGGGGCATGGCAAAGTGCAGATGGATCAGGGGTTATTAGAACACAGAAATAGCCTAAAAGTGGACCGAAAGCCCAGGTCGCGCTTAGCTATGTGTTGGCATTTCGCAGCTCACTCCCATTGATCTCTTGGTTGCTCCAGAACCGGAGAGAGACACGGGTGTGGGGAATAAATGTTGTCTGCAGGCTGGGGGTTCGGTGCCTTAGAAATGCTCAGGTAAAGAGACATAATAAGAGAAAGATTAGAGACTGCAGACAGCACTAGTGGTAATGAGACACTAAACCTATGATGAATCTAGAGATACATTTATGGATGGGACAAGTTAGATGGAAAGATGGATGCGAGAGGTACACAGCGAGTGGTACAAATCTCCGTTGATTTGTGGTCCTTCCAAATTTTCCAGTAGTAACGCAGACTGTATTTCTCAACAGCAGGCCTGCTTGTCTTGCATGACTCTTACAAGCAGCTCACATACCTCTGGGGCCACAGATCAGCGTTTAGAAACTGCTACAGACAGATTACATGGCTGCAAGGATTTTACCTGCCGCCTCGTGTTCTACCAGTCCGGGTCAATGGTTCTTCTGTACTGGGGTCCCAATTCAAGGCCGCACTGAAGCACGTGCTTGAGCAGAAACATATGCTTAAGCTTGGTTAACGGGGATCGAACTGGAGCTTGTACTTTTTGAGCCAGGACCCGGAAGAGAAGTAACCATGACCAAGTCCAAATGAGAGGGGAGCTGCTTGCTCAGATCAGACTGCATCGGCTGTGCCGAAACAGTTGGAACTGCTGGGAAGGGATTGGGAATAGGCTGGACTGGGTGGCTCTGTAATAGTAAATTCACTGCAGGCTGGGCAGATGCTTAACAGTGTTAGCAGGACGCTGTACGGTCCTTCAAGCAGGCATGAAGGTGCATTATCAGCGATGGGACTGAATAATACTGAAATTCACACCTGAGGTTGTGTCTGTGGTTTTAGGGGGACTTAGAGACAGACACAGGAACTTTTCAGGGTCCCTCTCACCAAGCCACCATTCAGTGGGGGAAGGAGTCATATGGGTGGGTAGAGGGAGAAGCTTGGCCCTGCTGAAGCAAAGGCAGAACAAGGCAGCTGGGACGGTAACCGCAGGGTCTCTGCAGGCGGGACGGGAGGCCTGACTGCTGCCCAGGCTGCACTGACCGCCTGAGCCCACGGGCTGTAGCCCAGATGCATTCTGCCTGAGCTTAGAACCTCCTCAGAGAACCTGTGCTAGGGAGAGGGAAAGGGCACTTCCAGAGAGCTATTCAGCACATGTAAGCCCTGAGCAGCCTCTGGAAGTACCCATTACAGATACGCTGTGGTGCCTGCGCTCCTAACAAGGGAGTGCTCGCAGGGGAGGCCAGCCGAGCGGCTGGGCTCCATGCTACCGAACTGCTCCAGGGCTGCCCCGTTTGGAGGATCCTCCTAGACCCTCCCTCTGCAGCCCAGACCTGCACAGCGGCTGTCCGGGACAGCAAAGCCATGCTGTGTGGCACAATACCCTCCTTTAAGCAATGTGCGAACCCTCCCTTTGATGGGAAATACTCTGGATCTTGTCTGGGAAAACAAGAGTGTTTTCCAAAATCCTGGCCACCCTGAAGTCACCAGCTGGACTGCCACTGGCTGCAGTACCACTGGGATGTCCCGGACACCCAGCGCTGCCAGGTGGGTGGTTACGTCTCTCTCTGGTACCCCAACTGTTTGAAACCTGGAGAATAAACTGATGGCAAAGGCTCTACTTGGCTAAGGAGCAGAAAAGCCTGCGCGAGAGAGAATGTATTCATACAGGAATCAAAACCAGTGAAGATGTGCAGGAAGAAGATGTCTGTCTGTCCACCCCTCCCTCCCAAATACGTCTAGGTAGCTACCGCTCAAGTATCTGTGTGCTCTGAGCCCAGAAGAGGGACGAGGCTGTCTGAGGGGCCACGCGGGTGCTAGTTTTGAACAAGGAGCACTTGTGTTTGTTTCAGGGAGCGTGCGTGTATTTCTTTACGGGGAAAAAAACTAATGCATGTGCAACTGAGGCAGCACTGTGGCTCTACGTATATGAATGTGTGTGTGAAAGACCATAAATAACATGCAGCGGTGACTGCCTATGTCTTTATATGGAAGAATCTGTGGTTGTGTAGAAATGTGGTTACAGAGGTAACATCTGGCTGCCTGCATGCGCACTGAAGTGACTCTGTGTGCCTGCGGAATTGAAGAATACGCCTGTGTCACTGGGTCCGGCATCTCCGGGAATCTCAATATACGAGGTGGCTCCAGCCACCTGGCACGTGGTACACTGCACCGCCTGTCTGGGTGAGCACGCTTGTGCGTGCGTGCATGGACGGAGGGCACGCGTTTGGTGTGGCTGCCTGTCGCTTGCACGTTTCCAAGACTTTCTGTTCAAAGACAGACGGGTCTTTTAACAGACGGCGCAGGTTTTTGGTACTGACTGGACCTTTATTCCTTAGCAAAGCCAGGCCTTCACATACCAGCAAGATCTGAGATCTGCCCTGGGGGGGCCCGTAGCCAGCACTCCCTCCTGTCCGCAGGTCTTAACGCGTGTTTCAGAGCTCTGCTCCCGGAGCATGAGGCTCCCTGTGCACGCTCGCTTTCCTGGCAGCAGGTGCCTGCAGCTCCCGCAAATAGCTTAATAAATTGGGATTTGTCAAGCAGAACAGGACGGAGCCTCTTTTGTTTTTTTCACACACCAGATTATGCCCAGTGGAGAAAATGGAGCCACTGCTGGGTTGTGCTGATGAGTTGTGTGAGAGGCTCTTCACTGCTCTGGAGAAAGGCCTCTCCACTTGTGAATCCCTGCCACTGCCGGTGTGGCTGATGGGGCAGGCACTGGATGCAGCCAGAGAGAGAATTAAATAGTGGAGACCCTGAGGAGACGTGAACTGAAAACTCTAGTGGAAATGGCCACTAGACAGGTTGAATGTCAGCCCAATTTCTGCAGTGATGGGAGAGGAGACTCAATTGTCTGTTTCCGCAAAAGATCAAAGTCCTCCTCTGCTATAAATTATTTTTGCTCCATCAAAGCCATCGGAGCAACGTGGATATGGTGGATGGAGCTTACGAGTTAACTCTCATCTTAACCTTGGTGTTTCTTGTCAGCTCCTCTTAAGCTCAGTGGCTGCTCTAGAACAGAAGGCAGGCTGTTTAGCGGGTAAAGCAGGACTCCCGGCCTCTCCTTGTCAGCTCAGAGCACGGCAGAAGAAGGGGTTAAATACCAGGAGTCCTGGATGCTATCCTCAGTTCTGCCACGCACTCACTAAATGAACTCAAACCAGACATTTATTTACTTTTGCCTGAATTTCTCCATCTGGAAAGCAGGTCTAATAATACTCATCTCCCTAAGGCACAAGGTGCCTAGGAAGGGGGAATTGTATGTCACACACTGTGGGATCTCTTGGGAAGGTTGTCAGCTCAGGGCAGGTAATGATGTTGCACGAAGATAACGCGGAGCAGTAAAACTGCTCAGAGCTGAGCACCGGTCTGATATCTGGAAGGGCTGAACGGATAGGTTTCCAAAAGGCTAACTCCCACAGGCAGAGTCAGACTACCAAAATCCCATCAACATCCATGTTGATTCCTGCTGTGAATCTGTGTGCTTTTTCAGTTGCCTACCTAGGACCTGGGCTTGCAGGTTAGAGACTAGCCCTGATTGATTTATTTTTGTTAGGAGAAGATGTGAACGCCTGATGGAAGCCTGGGCTTTCTCCCTGGCAGAAACCAAGTCTGCAAGGAGAGGAAATATATTTTATCAGACCAGCTGATATACCTGTAAAATGCAAACAGGGCTTTTGAGTTATGTTCTTTTATTAGGGCATCAACCTTTGGAAGCTGTGAAACCTGCTCTAACACCTAGAACCTTTTGCTCTTCCAACCATGCACCAAAATGGTAGCTGAGGCTTACAGACCTTGTTCAGCCAGGGGCTCTGAGCCTG